ACATGTACTTCATATGTTACACTGCAGTAGAAGCTTAATTAACATGACCACTGTCTATTTATGGCCTATTAACTCCATCTGGACTGATCCCTCTGTCCGTGTCAGTCGACAGGGCACTGAGCAGAGGGAGAAGTTGAGGAATGTGGAGAGAAGAAAGTAATCCACAGGCCTTCTATAAGAAAGTAACCACTTGACAAGGTTTACCTAGTTCATATGTTACACTGCAGTAGAAGCTTAATTAACATGACCACTGTCTATTTATGGCCTATTAACTCCATCTGGACTGATCCCTCTGTCCGTGTCAGTCGACAGGGCACTGAGCAGAGGGAGAAGTTGAGGAATGTGGAGAGAAGAAAGTAATCCACAGGCCTTCTATAAGAAAGTAACCACTTGACAAGGTTTACCTAGTTCCTTCACTCATTTAACATTGATTTTTTTTTTTTTTTTTTGAGACACGGTTTCATAATGTAACTCTGGCTAGCCTGGAACTTGCTATTTTAGGCCAGACAGCCTTGAACTCTGAGATCTGCCTGCCTCGGCCTCCTGAATGGTGGGATTAAAGGCATGTGCCACCATACCCTGTATGTTTATTTTTTGGTCTTTTTGAAACAGGGTCTCCCCATAGCTCCAGCTGTCCTGGAACTCACTATGTAGACCAGGCTGGCCTTGAACTCACAAGAGATCTGTCTGCCTCTGCCTCCCAAGTGCTGGGATTAAAGGTGTGCACTACCACGCCCACCTCAGCACATTACCGATTTTAAAGCAAAGCAAACAAGAGAAACTATAATTTTCCAATCTATCTACAAGAAGAAATATCAGAAAATAAAGCCTCAGTATTTTCCATTAATATGCCTTTAATTTCCTTTTCTAAGTGATGACACGTCTTTAAATTTTTTTTGTTTTCATCTCTTCTTAAAACGCAGGACTTTAAAGCAAAGGTTTTAAAAACTGCTTAATATAAAAGGTGATGAAAATTAAACTGGATTTTCAAAAAAAGAGATTTAAAAAATCCATAAAGATGAAAAGTGTTATACAATGGAAGATGATGGGAAGTGCCCAATGCTAGACACTATCCCAGATTCTTGTGTTTTGAAGACCAGTTCCTATGAGAAACACAAATTTTATTCATCTCAAGAATTCAATTACCTTACAATCAGTCACACAGCATTCTAACTAGGAAAATACTGCAAAATGTCCTTCCACCCATTCCAACAGAAACACGAGGGAAATTAGGCCCGATGAATCGCTGCCAAGAATCTCCTCTTTTCTTTTTTTCTTTTTTTTTTTTGTCTTTTTGAGACAGGATCTCCCTGTAGCCCCAGCTGTCCTGGAACTCACTATGTAGACCAGGCTGGCCTCGAACTCACAGAGATCCACCTTGCCTCTGCCTCCCAAGTGCTGGGATTAAAGGCAGGCACCACCACGCCCAGCCTGAATCACCTCTTTTAATATAACTCTTCTAATATGAAACATCAGCCCCATGTCCCATGGACAGAAATAAGAGAAGATGGCTGTCAATCAGCAGTACCCTGCTAAGAGCATGAAGATGAGAAGACACATATATTTGGGAGCAGCTTTAGTTTCTTACTCTTTTTCAGCACAATGCTAGGAAAATGCAAGAGCACTGACACCTGGTTTCTTCACACATTCACTAAATGGGATGGACAGCAGCCATAGGTAGGGGAAGAATCATTCAGAAGAGAAATGAGCTCACTTCCGTAATTATATAGGGATGTGAGGCTGGACATATAAAGAAAAGGGCTGGGTAGAAATACCTTGAAAGCTCCAAGGAAATGATGCTGAAGGTGAGGCTGAAATGAGATTCATCAAGTGCTTTGATACTGCCTCCTGTAAAATCTACCTTTTCTCCTCCATAAAAACAAAATTTAATAATTACCAACTCCTTTTTCTTTCTTGTGTTTTTCTGAGACAAGGTCTCACTATGTAGCCCAGGCAGGTCCAGATCTCAGAGTCCTCTGCCTCAGCCCCACAAGTACTAGAATTATAAGCATGTGTCATCATCATCATCACTAAATAAATAACTATTTTAAAGGAAAATATTCTCACCAAAGCATGTCACAATTTTGAGTAAAATTACTGATGAGATGGTGAATAAAACCTTTATGCTGCTATAGTAGCTTTTTCCTTAAGCAGATTACACCTATAATGCCTGACAGGTACCGGTTCTGCCTCTGTGACTCTTACAGATTTCCCCCCATCTTTGAGTTTTAAAATGACTCACTCATATTTCATGAGAGTTTGCTATGTTCATTTCAGTGCTGGATAAAGGTATTACATGACAGTCAGCACTCAGGTAGAGGGTATAATTAAAACCAGAATTTGGGGTGTTAGGGTATAAGACACTTGAGAGGTCAGTCTAAGATATTCCATTACATTAGAATAATTCATCTATGAGACACTTATTTTGACATAATGTAAATAACATATTAAAATTTAACACAATATTAGATGTTATCACACAAGCACCCAAATCATGCTGTTATTACTGGCTGATGGAAGGACACCCAAAGGAATCAGGTACTCTAAGGCATATACAGAGATAATGATTTAGAAATGTAGTCTGTTTTTTTTTGAGACAGGATCTCCCTGTAGCCCCAGCTGGCCTTGAACTCACTATGTAGACCAGGCTGGCCTTGAACTCACAATCTGCCTGCCTCTGTCTCCTGAGTGCTGGGACTAAAGGTATGTACCACCACACCCAGCTAAAGTAGCCTCTTCTAACAAAACAGATGTTTGAAACAGAAAGATGAACAAGCAGACTAAATTATATACTTTCATAAAGTATTTGAGTTCATATTTAAATTGAGTCACCAAAAATTTTCCTTATTTAAAAAACAAACAAATCACTCACTGTTATCTTAGTACAATCCTTTTTTTTTTCATTTAATTTTTAAAAAATTTTATGTGTATGCTTGTATTGCCTGCATGTAGGTAAGTGCACCCATGTTGTGCAATGCCCGCGGAGGCCAGAAGAGGCTGTCAGATCCTCTGGGACTGGAGTTATGGACAGTTATTAGCTGCCATGTGGGTGCTGGGGTTCCGGCATATAGCTGAGTGGTATAGCACTTGCCCAGTATGTGAAAAACTCTAGGTTCAATCCCTAGTACTATAAATAAATGAAATCTCTTTTTAAAATATTTAATGTGTATGAGTGTTATGCCTGCATGTAGGTAAGTACACCATGTTGTGCAATGCCCACAGAGGACAGAAGAGGCTGTCGGATCCCCTGGAACTGGAGCTATGGACAGCTGTTAGCTGCCATGTGGGTGCTGGGATTTGAACCCAGGTCTTCTGTAAGAACAATCAGTGTACCCAACCGCTGAGCCATCTCTCTAGCCCCGTCCTAGTACAATTCTTTAAAATAACTTACATTGTGTATTTAAAAAGTAATCATTTAGCTGGGCATCGTGGTACACACCTTTAGTCCCAGCACTTGGGAGGCAGAGGCAGGTGGATCTCTGTGAGTTCAAGGCCAGCCTGGTCTACAAAGTGAGTTCCAGGCCAGCTGGGGCTACAGGGAGACCCTGTCTCAAAAAGACCTCGACCCCCCCCCAAGTAGTAGTCATTTGTATAATTTGCAATAATTAAAGGCAGTTTTTCACACAGAAATGAACCTGCCATTAAAAACAATCAAGTTGAAATGTGCTTAAATTAATAGTTCAGTGTTTGGGAGAATCAATGAATTTCAAAATAGCTAAATTAATTCATTCAACAACAGGGTCTGGCATAGGAATTACAAGAAACTGGTCTATTTTAGTTTCGTTTCTCTATCTTGCTTCAGTATATTAGACATACATAGTCACACATGACTCAGGATATATATGTTACATACAGTGCAGTCAATAAGGGAGAAGGGCAATATGATTTGGCTCTACCCTCAAAATAATTGTCTTAAGGGGGATTTAATGTAGGTATTTATTTTTCTTTGCTCTACTTCTATTTTACTCCTAATATCAAAGTCCTTTTGCTTAATATTTAAGTTTAAAAAAATTTTATGTGCATGAGTGTTTTGTCTGCATGTACGTAAGTGCACTTGTGTCATGCAGTGCCCTCAGAGGCCAGAAGAGGAAGTCAGATTTAGAAATGGAGTTATGGACAGTTGTTCAGCTACCATGTGGGTGGTTGGGAATCAAACCTGGGTCCTCTGCAGGAGGAACCAGTGCTCTTAACTGCTGACCCATCTTCTAGCTCTTTGCTTAACATTTTTATATGAAGTATTTTTCTTGTTTAATTTTGATGGGACCAAGCAAAAGCTCTGTGAATCTTAAAGGATAATCTGCTACATGCTAACAGACACCCTGCATACAAGTCATCATCAGATGCTATCTTTAGGTTGTTCACAAGTTTGGTGAAAAGGATAGTATTTGACTGAAACACAAGGCTGTGAGTTTCCTGAGGTCTTTTCAAATGCTTCTTCTAGATGATTCAGGTATGCTCTTAGTTTGTGGAGAGCCTTGTTTTTTTTTTCCCTCCTATTACTCTGGTTGTCAAATCTTCCAGAAGATAAAAACTGAAGAAATGAATGCCTAATCCATCAATTTCCAATATTCACAATGAGCCAATCAACCACGAGGGAAGTTGGACATTTTTTTCTGGATCACTTTCTTTTGGCAACACAGTCTCTATAGTTAGTATTTTGTAACTCATATTTTCTACCAGGACACACATTTACAAATGACTTATAACTCATACATTTCCAAATATAACCTAAATATATCCAATGTAAATGGACACATTCTTATTATAAATCTGTGCCTGAAGGCATCACATTTTATGAAACAGCTACAGTTTGGTAGTAATTCACACACACACACACACACACACACACACACACACAATCCCAATATGACTAGAAATGACTGAAAGTTAGGAATATAAAATTTTCATTGACTCAATGAGAATTATACAGCCATTTGGCCAGAATATCAAAAATTACCCCCAATAACCACTGTGAACGAAAGTGTGAACAGGATAAAACAATGTTTTGAAAATATTTTAATATTTGCCATTTTTGTTGCCTGTATTGTTAATATATACATCGATTTAGTAATAAATATACTACCATTACAGTGAGTGCAATATTTTTAGTATTCATCACAGATTGAAATTAATGCTGCTATTACCTTAAGAAAGGGATAAATAAATATCATGTCCAAATTCCAAACTAATGCTTAAGAGTCTATCATTAACAAAAACTATAAAATAAACATGATGGGCATTATCTTTTTACACATTATTCCTGTAAACACAGCAAACATCATTTTTCTCAGTCCTGACATTTCATATAATGGCTTTAAAAGAAAAAAAATACATACAAATCCTATCATTTTGTTTTTTTGTATAGGGAATTAATTAATTTGTATTTTTAAAATGCAGCAGTCTTTCAAAGAAATGTCTTCATGACATAGTACTTGTTGTCTGTATGAACTCAGAACTTCTGAGCAATAAAAGTGCTCTGCTTAAGTTTATAAAATGTCTTATGGATTTAAAATTTAACAGAAAAATTTCAAAATAAGCATAGGTATGATTCTAAAATATTATATACATAATATATGACTACAGGAGGAAATGTCTCACTGTAGTACAACACAGTGTACAAATATGAAGCACAGTGTTGAGTATAATTTCCCTTTAGTTTTTCCTCATATTGGTGCATAAGTGGCTAATGACTCATTATACAACATACCCCTTTCTACTTGTAGTACAGAAGGTAGAAGAGGGATATGGGACAAATTTAAAGTAGATAATGAAAAAAATGGCAAAAAGACAATACATATGCTTTAAACAGTGCACCTTATAAACAGATTGCTTTACTGATACTCTTTTATAAAGTGCAATATTATGTAAAATTGAGACATGTACCTTAATATCCTGTAATAACCATTAAAACAAACTGCCAGGAAAGAGCAGTGCAAAATTAAAAACATACATAGCTTAGCATGCATTTCGGATGGATCCCAAGTGCAAAGCATGGGACCTCATGTTCTTAAATATTTTTTTCATTTTTTAGAAAGATTAATAATACTAGGTTATCAGCATATATAACCATAAAATAAAAACAATAAGTTAAAATTCTCTCTTAAGAAATAAGCCACACATAAAATTCATTACAGCATCTTTTTTGAAAACAGACCCTTTTCTCTGATAAACCATTACTCAAAGGGTGTAAGTCTCTTAAAAACCCACCTTGCTATCAGGCATAGCAAAAGGCATCAGGTCTTCTTGGCAGGCATGTGAAAACCTATGACTTAGGTTGTAGGCAGTTCCAATTTAACCAGTCACTACTTAAATTACAGAAACCTTTGCTGTTTCAAAAAGAATCCTGCTGGCATTGTGCTAGGTCGCTAAAAAGTATCATGTGTGCTTGCTCTATTCACAGTAATGTTCTCTGTCCAGTGTTTTTGGACAAGGATAACCAAACAGGTTTTCCCCTAAAAAAATTCATTAAGAGGCAGATTCCAAATAGACCAATGGGACACATTTTTTTTTAAAGCACATGCCTCAGGCACATGCTGAGGGAGCTAAGGTGCAAGGGGTCACTGAGGACATCCTACTATTCCCATACCACTCAGTCCGAGAACTGGAAGAGGGTCTCCGGGTTACTGCCATCAGTGGGGTTGCTGGGCTGCAGCGTCTTGGTGGGTGTAGTTTTGCCATGGGAATGGGAGGAGGAAGAGTGGGAACTCTCGCTGGAGCTGCTACGTGTCTCTGTGCTGGTACTTGTCTTCTTCATTTTCCTTCTTTTAGCCAAAGGGGCCTTATCGACATTCTGAAGACAAAACCCCTCTCTCTTGTATTTGTTAAAGGCCTAGAGAAGAGAAAGGGAGTCCCATGAAGTTAACAGTACTGAAGTTTTTTGTGGCAGTCTGACTTTAAGTAGAAGACAATTTTCCACTGGCAACCACAGTTTCAAGTTATTCCTTGGAATAAAACTCAGAAAACTTTCACATCCAGACCTCTTGGTGGGAGGATAAAAATTTACAATGCTAGTTATGGAACCTAGGGTCTCTAACACACCAAGCAACTGTTTAAATGGAACCAGCTGAGTTGTCTGGGTGTCACCACTGCTTTTTGTTTGTTCTACTGTAATTTTTGAGACAGGGTCTAAAGTAGCCCAGACTGGCTTAAACTTGCTATATAGCTGATAATGACCTTGAACTTGTTTTCTTCTAGTCTCCATCTCCCAGGTTCTGAGATTACAGCAATGTGCTACCATACCCAGATATGTCCTGGAATTTTCTTAATGTCAGATATGGGAAGTGCTACACTGGTGCTTGATGACCTCATATCACGTATCACTGAGAAGATCTGGATCATCTGGCACAAATTCCTACAGCCATTTTCTTCACCCAGCATCATTCTCTAGTTTATCACTTGTTCACGTCCAATTCCACAGCTGAACATGTACATTCCTTCTTTGCTAAAATAATCCTTCAGACACTATGCTTCTGTAACTAATCTTGTACTAGTTATCTTAATCTGTATCTGCTTGTACAAAGTTAAACAATGTAAAGTCAAGCCTTTTAAGAATACAACTAAGGGAGCTGGCTCAGCGATTAAGAGCACTGGTTGCTCTTGCAGAGGACCTAGGTTCAGTTCCAGCACGCACATGACAGTTATACAATAATTGTCTATATAACTCCAGTTCCAGGGGATCCTACACCCTCTCTGTGAGCATTGCATGACATAGCTGCATTTAAATACACGAAGGTAGGCTGGGCCTGGTGGCGCATGCCTTTAATCCCAGCACTTGGGAGGCAGAGCAGGCATATCTCTGTGAGTTCAAGGTCAGCCCAGCCTCATCTACATAGCAAGTTCCAGGTCAGCTGGGGCTACAGGGAGACCCTTTTTCAAAAAGACCCCCCCCAAAAAAAACATGGAGGTAAAACGTTCATATACATAAAATAAGAATAAATTTAAAAAAAATTAAAATAATTAATTTATTTTTTATGTGTATGAGTGTTATACCTGCATTGTATAAGTGCACCTGTGTCGTGTAGTGCCCAACGAGGTTGGAAAAGGGTGTCAGATCCTCTGGAATTGGAGTTATGGATTGTTGTTAGCTATCATGTGGGTGCTGGGTTTGAACCTGGGTCTTCTGTAAGAATAGCCAGTATTCTTAACCAGTAAATCATCTCTCCAGCCCCCTAAAAAAATTTAAGAGTACATGATGGGTGGGGTGGTGCACACATTTAATCCCAGGACTTGGGTGGTAGAGGCAAGTGGATCTTTATAAGACTAAGGATAATCTGGTCTACATAGCAAGTTCTAGGCCAGCTGGAGCTACAGGGAGACCTTGTTTCAAAACCAAAAAAACTACAAAATAGATATGTACTTAATACAGCCTATACTTAGTACAACCCATTTATCTCAGGTCCTTTATAGTCTGCACTCTGCTCTTGTTCTCAATGTTCTGCTGTGGTTTCATTTGAGAGAAACCTTATTATGTATATTGTTTTTATTACCTGCTAAAAATTTTCAAATGTTTAAGTATTAGACTACTTTCTTCTCTCAGAAACTCATTCTAAATATCCAGGAAGTATTTAGTGAATTAGTAGTGACTCTGTTCCCCATGTGCTTTCTGTTCATAATATGCTTATAGTATGAAGTGGTTTATAAACATACCTAAAATTAAAAGTACACAGATATTTTTATTTTATGTTGAGTGTTTTGCTTGCATGCATGTAAGTGCACCACATGTGTGCAATGCTGTTAGAGGCCAGAAGGCAGCATCAGATCTCCTAGAACTGGAGTTACAGACAGTTGTTAAACATTACATGGGTGCTAGGAGCATCGGTTGACTGTAAGAATAGCAAATGCTCCTACTATTTTATGTCTCTGAGGGTACCAACTAAAAATATCAGATTGATTGGGAACACTTTTCAAAGGGCCCACAGGGCCTTACATGGAAGGTTGCTTTCACACAGGTATGCACAGCAGCTCCTGAAGATCCCAGAATATCTGGAGTCATCAGAGGATTAGAGGACAACTGACTGCCATCTTGAAGCCATTCATTGTATCTCAAGCCAGACATTTTCAGCCTCTTATTTGGATCAACTGTAAGAAGTCCTGAGGGTGTAAGAGATTTTAATTTTATAATTTGCCACCTTAAACACAGCTCAACAATCAATCTCAGACATAGAGTTCAATTACGTTCTGACATGGGTTCTGGGATCTGAACTCCAGTCCTCTGGAAGAGCAGGAAGCATTATTATCTACTGAGTTATCTCTCCATCCCCTAAATATATTTTCACATACATTTAAATCTGCTTGAGGACACTGGATGCTAAGGTAAGGTCACAATAGTTTATTTCTAGGAAGTCTTAAGCTAACTGGCTTTCCAGTTAAGAGAAGATAACCATCCCAAAGACTACATGAATATATCCAAATGAATATATCCATGGACTAACTATTTACTAGCATTTTCTAAGAATAAAGGGATGTAGTAAGGCACTAGAGACTTGGGGATAGAGAGTCTAAGAGGAGTGAGTGGGAGATATAGAGACAAAGATGATGCAGCTATTCTAACATGATGGGATCAGTGCAAAATGCACAACACAGTGAATTACAGACCCAGGAAAGAGATGCTCAGTCTAGGGACAGAGGCGTCCTACAAGGCTTCTAAGAAACAGGTCATACAAGGTAAGAAGAAGGAGCTAGCCAAAGAGGTACTATACGGATTAAGACAGCCAAATGTGAAGAAACAAGAGGTTTCTGAAAGCTTGAACCATTAGAGGAATTCAAGTACATGCCAACAGCAGAGGAAGGATGATGAGGAAGCAGAGGCAGGCTGGGCCAGGTCCTGATGAGATTTGGATTTTGAAACCCAGGCTAAGGATAGGATGTGAAACTAACAGAAATTCTCCAAGGAATTTTTACCTGAGAAAAGATATGATCACATTTGTCATTCAGTTGATACAGAATGGGTAGGAAAGTCAGAGTAAGTGAGGTGAGTTGAAAGGATGTTGCAGGCCATTGGCAGAAAAATGATGGTATGGGCCTGTGGATGGGCAGGAAGGGAGCCAGGTGGCTTGCAGAGCTGTAGCACTGAGCGACTGGCTGCAGAAGGCAAGGAAAGGGCAGGCAACTAGGGTGACATTAAGGTTTCTGTTTTGGTGGTTTGGCTTCTGAGTAGTGCTATCATCCAAAAGAAAGGAAATAGAAGTGGAACAGGTTTGGAGAAAAGTATAGTAGAAAAGTCTGGGTTTGTTTGGCTCTATTAGGTTGAGATACCAGGAGGAGTCATATGGTAGCTCATGCTGGAAATGGGAATGAAATTTTAGAGGGGGAATTTTCCTATAAAAAGAAAACAATCCACCTGGAAAACCTTTGAGAACCCTCGTGGGTTCCTGGAGCAACTAGCAAACATGTATGTGAGTAGTGGGCATGTTTCTACTTTAGTCACTACATGCAGTACAGAACACCAGATTTTAAGAGTCTTACCTTGGATCAGATCTTTAGCCTCTTGGGATACATTCTTCCAGGCTTCTCCTTCAAAGGAGAAATCTCCCTTCTTAATTTTCTTCATGATTTCTACTGCACTGGTGCATGTCAAACTTCTGTCATGAGACTGGAATGGTACCTGCCCTGATAACATTGTATACTATCATGGAAAAAGAAAGTAAAAAAACAGCATGACTGCAAAAAATCACTATCGAATCCATTCCAATATCCCATTACTAACTTGATAAAAGCTTATCTACTATTGCAACATGCATTATTGAATTTAAAAGACGGACTTCTATCACTGAAGTAACCAACACATTTAAAAGACTAATAAAATTATTATTATTATTATTATTATTATTATTATCATTATTATTATTATTTTGGTCTTTTTGAGACAGGGTCTCCCTGTAGCCCCAGCTGTCCTGGAACTCACTATATAGACCAGGCTGGCCTTGAACTCACAGAGATCTGCCTGTCTCTGCCTCCCAAGTGCTGGGATTAAAGGCGTGCACCACCACACCTGGCTAAAATTATTTTTATAACTATGAGATTTCATAGTTTTTATTTAGCAATCAACTTCCGTTAAAAACAATTTTCAGTCTGCAATTATAAACAGTATAGCAAAAAGCAAAGATACATCTACATACATATATCTACATATACATGAATCAATGTCTATATATTTCTTATAAGTACACACACACATTGCATGCATGTGCACGAATACACAAACGGACACAGCACACACACAGGAGGGGGTTAGAAAAAGCAACTGCAGCAAAATATCAGATGCTCACAGTATTATTCTCTTATTTCTAGTTTTGAAAATTTCAAAATAAAAATTTAGGAACTGCAAAAAACAAGGTCAAGAATAAAACACTTGGAGAAACTGTTTTAAAAGGAATTATGTGCCACTTCACAGGCATGTTATAGATTCTGTCCTGTGTTTTCTAAATACTGTGTGTTATGTATGGAAGGTTTGATCTCTCCTAAACTGATATGTTAAATACCCAACAACACTGTATTTGGAGATAAATAACCTTGTTATGGACTGTAGTTATGCATGTAGGTCCTGATCCAATAGTAATAGAGCCCTTAATTCAATGGATACCATAGAGTTCTCCCTATGTAAGCCTCTGACACAAAAAGGCTGAGTGTACAACCAGCAGGTAGCCAGCTGTAACCCAAAGGAGGGACCTCACCAGACACCAATTCTGCTAACATCTTGATCTTGGACTCCAGCCTCCTTAACTATGAGAAAATAAATTTCTGTTGTTTAAGGCATGTAGTTTGCAGTATTTTGAGATAGCAGCATAAGCAGATTGATAGGCTGGATAAGCTCTATTTTAATTAAAGTTCTGTGCATTTTGGACAGAGACTGTACATTCTTGGTGTATACTGGTTTATAACAGAAGCCACATATGATTTCCCTGGAGTAATTTATTTGGTTCAATAAAGGAAATGTAATTTATTGTTATTTAAACATATCCATATTTATTAGATGCAAGATACAAAGGAGGCTATCCAATTCCAAGGCAAATCAGGAGACTCCAAATAAATTTAGTGCTTGCTATGGGATAAGGTAGGCTCTGAATCTAGATAATTGGAGATACGCATTCATTTATATGGAAATTTGAAAGGTATTTTGACAGTTTAATGCAGCTGCTAATTTTTGTTTGTTTTCTTCTATAATGTATCATGTATCTATAAAAGGCAAGACTTTTACAAACCCTAACTTTGACACTAGTTATCACCTCTGAAAAAATTAGCAGTCACTCTTTGTAGCATCCAATATCTCATGTTCAAATTTCCCTCACTGTGTTATATACATTGTGAATATAATTACAGTTATAATTACATTTAGAACCTGAATTTAATAAACAGCATTTATATTAGATTTTGCTAGAATCAGAATTCAAGTAATATGCAAGTACTATTCCTTAAGTGTCTTTAATCCACAGGTTCCCACATTGTCTTGTTTTGTTTGTTGAGACAGGCTCTCACACTGTAGCCCAGCCGGCTTAAAACTTTTGACCGGTCTCCTGCCTCAGCCTCCTGAGTGCTGGGATTACAGGCATGAGCCATCAAGTCTAGCCTCATGTCATTTTTTTCCTTACAAAGTATTTGCTGAAGAAACTGATAGTTTATCCTGCAGTACTGCCCACAGTCTGGATATTGTAACTGTGCTCTGTGTTGCCATTAACTTTATTTTTATCTTGTTTTCTTAAAATTTTGACCATCAGACATAAAGGGTGGGTCTGCTTCCATCACTGTCTCTACAGAAAGCTGTTATGGATATAAGTAGGAGCTTGCATATACCTCTTTGCATGTCTCAGACTCTTAAAACCTTAAAGTACTTGATCATCATAATGGGCCTAAATTTAAAGTAATATCTTGTCTACAATGGAAAAGAAAATTAATACTAAAAATAAAGGACTTTAAAAAGTTTATATATATTTTAGGACATTACTACTAAAATGTGTCACTGATATAAATCCTTGAACCTCTCAAATCTACAAAAGTTGGTTGTTTACTTTTATTAAAAATGTATTCACAAAATATATGTTTAGTTTGGGAGTGAAAAATGATGACAAACTGCTCAGGTGAAAGCCATGTAAGGCTTCAAAATAAAGAGCCACCTGCAAGGACAAGTGGCCAGCCACCAGCGGGGAAGCAAACTGATACCAAAATAAATCCCAGATGGAGGACAGACTGAAGTATAAAAATAAGATCCAGTGATTCTAGAGAATATTTTTGTAATCCTGAGTTGAGGGCAGAGGTAGAATGACAATCTGACATTAAATCCATATACAATGGAGAAGAGACTGACACATCTTACCACCTGGGGGAAAATGTTTCTCTCAAAACAAAACCCTGATTACTACAAACAAAAGGTAATCTAGAGAAACATTTCCAATTGTTGATGAAGACACAGGATTAAAATTCTAATTAGAGCCTGAATATTCAGTGAGAAAAAGCTCCCCAAAAGAAAACGGGCAGCTGGGCGTGGCGCAAGCCTTTAATCCCAGCACTTGGGAGGCAGAGGCAGGCAGATCTCTGTGAGTACAAGGCCAGCCTGGTCTACATAGTGAGTTCCAGGACAGGTGGGGCTACAGGGAGACCCTGTCTCAAAAAGACAAAAACAAAAACAAAACAAAACAAAAAACCCTTAAGAATCATTTATAGCCAGGCACATGCCTTTAATCCCAGCACTTGGGAGGCAGAGGCAGGGAGATCTTTGTGAGCTGGAGGCCAGCCTGGTCTGCATAGTGAGTTCCAGGACAGCTGGGGCTACAGCGAGACCCTGTTTCAAAAAAGAAAGTAAAAAGAAAATGGGCAAAGCTCATAAACAACAATTTATAAAGAGAAAACACAAATGTCATTGAAGAAATGCATGCAGATCTTAAGAACAGTAGGATATAATTTAAGATTAAAATTTATGATATTCAATGTACTTAGATACAGGTGTTAAGAATTAACTTGGTAAATCTTACAGAAGAATAGAATTTAGGCAGCTCTGCTAAAATAAAGATGTACATGCTCTCCCAGGAATTCTAAGGAAACTGTGAGACATGCAGTTGTATATATGAAGAAAGATTTGTTTTAATAGCTTATAAATAGTGAAAAAAAGGGGAAACAACAAATTGCTTTTTAGTAAAGAAATGGTCTGATAAATTTTGAAGATTCAAAGTACATGTATAATATAACCCTTTTTGTTAAAAAAAAAAACAAAAACCCGTGTGTGTGTGTGTGTGTGTAGGAAAACACGCTGAAAGGCAGATTAAAAAGCACACATGCATACAAGGGTGAGGAGGAAATTTACACATCATCATCTTGAATGGTGAGATTAAGATGGATTTTCATTTATAGCTTTTGGCATTATCTGAAAATTTCCCCCTAACACCACAGATAACAAATTATATGTGGAATAGAAAATAAAGCTATTTTGAGGCAAAAATATGTGAAAAATTTTCTAGTTTCATGTTCATTTTCTGATCATGCATACTTTGGCAGCCAGGCACACTGTAAAAAGCATGCCTCTCATGATCACTGTAAGTTATAAATAGTTCTAGCTGTATCTATTATTTTGTCAATTTATTCTAAGGGATTTTGTTTAATTATATTTTGTCTGAAATTTCAGAGTACAATGGGGTCACTGTTTTTACCTTTTATCCAATACAGTGTATGCCTTGTATAACACAATAGCTTCTTAACAATGTATTCATATGTATTAATTCATATGAACCACAAAAATAATGTCGATCTTTGAAAATAGCTAACCTCTGCAATATCTCTGTTGTAGGTTCTAAGAAATGAAAACATTCATCAGTATGGCTTCTATTAGTTATATAGGAAAGAAGCCAGCACACCTAACTTTTTCATAAATTTAAGGAAAAGAACAGTGAGAGCTAGGCACTGAGGCCATCAAAGAACTGACCAGGCTTAATGGCTATTGGGACAAACTCACCAAGATGACACCCAAACTCCACAGGTCACAGGACTCATCATAGCCGTTGTGATTCAGAAGCTCTGGGGCTGCGTAATGAAGGGTGAAGCACGGGGTCTTAAGGGGCTGATTGTCAGGTGGTTTGAGGCGTGCAAACCCGAAGTCAATTACTTTAATTTCCAAATTGTCATTTTCATCAGTGAACAACAAATTCTGTAAGATGCCAATACTCTGGTTAGTTTCTCACTGAAATGTTAGGAGATTTGTTGGTCTATCTATGGAACACTGTGTATACTGCTGTTTTGATCAGAGTCTCATGGGACATTCTGGGGCCTGGATTTCAGTATGCCAGTGCACCTGCTGCTCTCTTCTTTGTATTGTTTTGTTCCATTTCAATTTCACAATGTCATGTCAAGTATTTTCGTTGTTTTTTTTTTTTTGGTCTTTTTGAGACAGGGTCTCCCTGTAGCCCCAGCTGTTCTGGAACTCACTATGTAGACCAGGCTGGCCTTGAACTCACAGAGATCCGCCTGCCTCTGCCTCCCGAGTGCTGGGATTAAAGGCGTGCACCACCATGCCTGGCATGTCAAGTATTTTCAACTGCATTATGCTTCTTCTGAAGTTATACCTTTGTCTCTAGTTCTTCCTCTGCTTCTCTTTGTCTTCTACTTCCTCTACCAACCTATTTTCTACTCCAGCCTGGCTCCTGCACACATACTCATTCAGAGATGCTGCCCTGACCATTCCACCAAACTGAAGTTCCAACTTCCTGCATTTTCTTCCAGGATGTTTTACTTTTCCTTTCTGGCACTTATTATCTCTGTGGTTTTAGCTGAACGTTGTGGTCTCTGTCAGGCCATAGTTACATAAGGGCAGGAACTGCAAGTCCATTTCATTTATGACTTTGTCCCTGGGGCCTGGCATAGGTAGGTACAGGCAGAACTCATTGGATTTCTTTTTTATTGCACTTTGCATACACTCAAAAACAAAACAAAACAAAACAAAACAGAACAACAACAACAGACAGAAGGTTTGTAGCAACCCTGTGCTGAGGAAGTCTTTCAGCACTTTCAGCACCATTTTCCCAATAGGATGTGTTCACTCTGTGTCTCTGTTACATTCTGGTAATTTTCACAATATGTCAAGCTTTATAATTTCTATTATATTTGTGTGGTGATCTGTAATCAGTGATCTTTGATATTACTATTATCATTGCTTTGGGGCACCAGGAACTGCATTCAAGATGGGGAATTTAATCAATAAACACTTGTGTTGATCACATTATCAAACAGCTGTCTCTTATCTCTGTCCCTCTTTTCTCAGGTCAATCTAGTCCCTGAGACACAAAACTGAAATTAAGTTAACTGATAGCCCCACAAAGGCCTAAGTGATCAAATGAGAGTAAGAGTCACACATTCCTCAATTTAAATGATGTGATGAAGTTTAGTGATGAAGGCATGTAGAAAACCACCCAGTGGAAGATAAAAGCAAGGCCTCTTATTCTAATTAGCTAAGTTATAAGTGCAAAGTTAAAGTTGTTAAGGGAAATCACTTTGGTGAATACATAAAATGATAAAAAGCAAAAGGACCTTCTTGCTCACATGGATAAAATCTGGACAGAAGACTCAACCAACCACAACATTCCCTTAGGTCAAAGCTAACCAAGAGCAAGGTCCCAACTTTTCAATTCAATATAGGCTGAGAGAAGTGAGAAAGATGCAGAAGGAAACTTTAAAACTAGTTGGCAGAGGTTGGTTCATACGGTTTAAGAAAATAAGTCACAGAACTCACAAAGTACAAACTGAAGCAGGAGGTGCTGATGTGGAAGATGCAGCAAGTTATCAAGATGATCCAGCTGAGCTTGCTGATGGGTGGCTAAACCACCTACCAGATTAGCAAAGCAGACAAACAGGTTTCAATTAGAAGGGCTGTCTACGACATTATAGCTAGCTTGACTTCAAAACTGCAAAGGACAGACTGACATTCCTATTAGAGGAGGATGCAGTTTGAAATTAAGCTGAAGTCAACACTCATTTGCTATTTTGAAAATCCTAGGACTCTTAAGAATTATATAAAATATGCTCTTGCCTGTGCTCTATAAGTGTCATCCACAAGGCCTGGATGACAGCACATCTGTTTACAACATGGTTCACTTAACATTGTATGTTCACTGTTGAGATCAACTTCTCAGAAAAAGATTTATTTTCAAAATAGTTAAGTTCATTACCAATGCATGAGGTCACCCAAAAGCTTTGCTGGAGACATACAGTGATATGAATGTTGTTTTCATGTCTGCTATACAACACCCACAAACAGCCCTGGATCAAGTTGTTATTTTGACTTTCAGGCCTTATTATTATGAAATATGCTTTTAGCTGGGTAAGATGGCACACACCTTAATCTCAGCACTTGGGAGGCAGAGGCAGGCAGATCTTTGTGAGTTTGAGGTCAGCCTGGTCTTTTCAGCAAGTTCCAGGCTATAGCCAGGGCTATACAGTGAGACCCTGTTTAAAAGAAAAAAAAATACTTTTAAGGCTATAGCTATCAGATCATGATTCTTCTGATGGATCTGGACAAAATAAATGGAAAGCCTTTTGAAAAAGAGTCACTATCCTAGATGTCATTAAGAGCACTTGTGATTCCAAGATAAAAATACAAACTAACAGGAGTTTGGAAAAAGTTGATTCCAAACCTCACAAATGATCTTGAGAGGCTCAAATCTTCCGTGGAGGAAGTAATCGCTGATGTGGAGGAAATGGCAAGAGAGTATTATAGAAATGGAGCCTGAAGATATGACTGAACCATTGCAAGCTCATAATCAAACTTTAGTACATGAGGAGTTGGGCTTACAGATGAGCAAAAAAGTGGTTTCTTGAGATGGCATCTGTTCCTAGAAAAGATGCTGCCAACACTGTTGAAATGACAATACAGGATTTAGAATATTATATAAACTTAGCTGATAAAGCAGTGATGGACTGAGAAGACGGATTCCAATTCTGAAAGAAGTTCTGTGAGTAAAATGCTATCAATAGCATCACACTAACAGAGAAATCTTTCATGAAAGGAAGACTTAACCACTGCATCAACTTTCATTGCTGTTATTTTAAGAAACTGCCACAACCATTCCAACTTTCAATTACCACTACTCTGGTCAGTTGTCAGTCATCAATGTCAAGGTTAGACCATCCCCCAGCAAAAGAGTCAGGACTCATTGAAGGCTAAGATGACCACTAAACTTTTCAGCAATAAAATATTTAAATTAAGGTATATACATTGTTTCTTCAGACACAAGGCTACTTTAGACTTAATATAGTAGAGTGTTCACTGAGAAAGTAAAAAAAATTCCTGATTTGCTTTATTGTGATATTCATTTTATTGTGGAACCAAGACAATATCTCTGAAGGGATTTTTGAATAAAATAATAAATGAGAGGCTGGGAAAATTGCTTGGTGGTTAGAATGGTTATTGTGAAAGCATGAGGACTTGAGTTCAAATCCCTAAGTACTCATGTTAAAAAGATGAATGTGGACATTCATGCATCTATAGAGGATGGAACTTACTGGTCACTAATGTAACTCCAGGTTCAGTGAAAGACCCTGCCTTAAGGAAGTATGGTAGAGAATGATAAAGCAGGACACTTGACATCCTCCTCTGGCTTATGCCTGTATACATACAGGTGCATACCTGCCTCTCACCATGACGTGCCTCTCGCATCACACATATATACAAACACCATAAATGAAATAAATTTAGGTCTACTATAGTCTATTAATGAAACAAGAGTAATCTGTACTATATTTAATAAATGTTTTTGCTAAAATAAGCAATATATAAAACATACTTTGACATTCAGAGATATGCCTCCAATATTTAGAAAATATTATTCTGAATCATTCATCCAGTTAGGCGCCCTTCTACTAAGCTTTACAGTAATACTTTTGTATTTGTTACATACTTAATGCATGCTAACTGTACTGATGTACAAATCATTTAGTGTATCAAGCAAGTACCACAGATCCACCACAGTAAGTAAATCTGACTATATAGTTTTTAAACATCATTACAAAATCTGTTATGCCCTTATAGTGATTATTCTCAGCTCTGAAAATCACTTAAATTGTTACTATTTTAGCAGAACTAAAAGACATAACAGAATGCTCCACTGATACAATGAAGGAAAACCTCCAAGTCTGTCCATCCTTTTGACATTGCAACACAACACTGTCATCTACAAAGTTCATGATCAGGAATGGTGCAATTGAGCTTTTAAAACAATCTAATAATGTTTTAAGCAAGTTTACTATTTTGTGTTGGGGCAGATTAATAGCTATCCTGGTTAAACACACACCCAAATTTAAACCTTTTACTTAAAAAGAAAAAAATGAGGTGAGTGAGAAAAAAATTGAAAAGTTTCTTTAAATTTTCTATCATACAATGCTTAAACCCCAATTTGTGACAACGGAAATCATAGCTTGGGTTTACAGGTGTTTACTTGGGAGATACATATCTTTCCACAATAATAGCTGAGGTCTTCTAGTGCCTGGCACTGTGCTAAACACAGCAATGAGAAGCACATCTGGACCAAACTTTACAAGGCCTGCTAGGTCTCTGGAAATGATTTACGTTTATTCCACTAAGGCTAGTGAAGGACTTCCCTAATCCTAAATCTTGGAGACATGAGGGAATATGGTATTCAAAGCTAAACTAGTGATTTTAATCCGTTCCTCCTATTCTGGAACATGTGAAATTAAAGTACATTGCTTACTTCCCACCTCCTGTCCCAAGGCACAAAGTGGAGAGTTGGAGAGGGAGAGGGAGAGGGAGAGGGAGAAATCAGTCAATCCCCCTTTAGCTTCATTTGAAAATATCTCATATACGGAACATGTCTGAATCTTTCAAGAGGATGGGGCCAATTTGAAAAATATAAAGCAGCCTACTAAGAATGTCAGCCAGCTTCTTCTAAATTTATCCAATTCTCACCTAGAATATAGAATTCTGCCTATACAGAAAAAGAATGCCATCTAACCATCTACCAATGGATAATCAGACCTAAAAGCTGCATGGGGGAAAGATTAAATTTTCAGTTTGGAAAAAAGTCAAAGTGAAAGCTATTATTATGAAACTGCTATCATTGCTCTAAAACTTAAAAGAATATAATTGTGGTGAAATATTCTCCATAACCTAACAATTCTGTTTCATTTCAAGCTACATAA